CCAGCCCCTCGCTCGTGGAAAAGCCACTAGCAGAAGCAGAGAGACAAGAGCAGCGCGGAGGGCAACTGTGCCCAGGGCGCCGGGTGCCCAGCACACGCCGGAAAAGAAAGGAAAGGAAAAGAAGAGAAAAGAAAATAAAAGAGGAGAAAATAAGAGCAGAGAAAATAAAGGAAGAAATTTTAAGGGCCTTATGACGATAATTCCCGGTTACAAGCAATATGGCTGAACTTCCATAAATAAAAAATACCAATTATAACTTCCCTCGAAGTAAACTCTAGAAACGTAAGTATACATAAATACATGTATTTAAATATAGATTTTTTGTGTGAAGAAGGAATTAATATGGAAAACTTACAATATTAAATCAGTCGGCTTTTAAATGACCTATTTTGTGACTTATCTGTGCCTAAAATCTATATGTTTTGGCGGTGCTACCTGTCGCTGGTTTAGTGCAGAATTAGACCTACGGGTCTTGCAACACTGTCCTAGTACGTTTGCTTGTTCTGCTGTTTAGAGAGGAGCATCCATCTTCCGTTAATCATGTCACACCGCAAAAAATACGAACTCAAGTGTAGCTGGGATGCTGCAGGCCTTCCGCAAATGCCCGGCAAGAAAACGCCATCAAACGTGCTTCATCATACTGGTTTCTAAAGTCATTTAAAATTATTGGCAGAAAGAAGCACGATAATTTTACTAATTTCCCCTCGACGGCCGTAGAGATGCCCCTCGTGAACCGAAAGTGCCGCATGAGTCGGGATCCAAATGAGCAGCCGAGACTCCTCTGCGGGAGGCGGCTGTCGGCGGGCGTTGCACGGGCTCCTGTCAGCATCATCATCGCCCTCTGCATCCCTGAGGATCGCGGGAGGGAGGAAAACAGATCCCGAGCGCTGAATCCAAGCTGAGTTGTGGAAATGGAGCCATAGCAACTTTCGCTGTGACTTCAACGTGAACTTCCTGCCACTCAGGGCACGTTAACTTTTCACCTTTCCTGCACGTCGTGTATCAATTGCCTTTTTTTTTTAATCCAGTCTACATGTTGCAATGTGAGCCGCGGCTTTCACAGACGTGAGCGCTCCGTGTCCCGCCTTGACGGCACAGCTCGCGCTCCCCGTCGCGCCAGGAGCCGTTTGGCTCCCACCCCACGTAGCGAACTCGCTCTCCAGCCTCCTGGCGCTGGCTCGAGGAACGCGGGGGCGTTTGCGGGTTACCGGAGCCCGCC